CGGAAGAGCAGAACTGGTGCTTAGAGCAACAGTAATTAAGTTTCAGTTTTGAGCATCTTATTAAATTTACTATTAGATAGACTATGTCATGCAAGTAAATAAATGCTATTTATAACTATCTCTAAGCCACAGCAACCCAGTCACAGAGCCATTTCCCAGACTGTGTTATTGTTATGCCAAACAGACTACTCTTTCATTTCTTGTCAGTCATAATTACAGTTCCATAATTGAAATACAGTAAATTACCATGCAGTAACTTTGAAAGATGGTTCACTGAGGTTAAGCTGTCACTACAATTACTGTATACTAAAAAATAATAATTTAAATGTTCTACTTTTCTCTCAAAGAAAAAAAAATCAGTTCAAGCAGCTCAGATGAGTCAAATATCTTCATGATGATGTAAAGAAACAGAAACAACATATTTAAGCAAAGCCAAACAATCTCAAGTAGAAGTCCTAGGCTGCATAAGCAAACCAGTGTATATAAACTCTTCTAAACACTGAAGAAAATTGCACATTTAAAAACAATCCTTTAAAAGAATACTCTTTATCAGAATTCAGTCATACAGTATCTATCCAGCGTCTTCCATATGTGCTTCTATTTTGCTCATAAAGGACATAAATCTTTGGAAACTTCTTCCAAATTTCAAGCTTAGTTTTAATTCAGTTCTACATTATGTTTTCGGCCATGACCAGTAGGATAACTGCAACTCACCTAACACCAAGGAGGTGTGGATAAAATATATAAATTAGCATGGACATTTGTAAGCATAAAACTGGGTCTACAATTTTGACTTACAGTTGGTCAAGCACAATTTGCCTGTAGAAATTTTCTCAAATATTTGACAGAAATAAAATGAGGGAAGGGGATGCGGAAAAGACACAAATACCTGCCATTGTAAAAATAATGCTCAAAATTTTATGAGATCCTTTTAAAAAAACCCAAAACTTTCAATAAATTCCTAGCTGCTGTCTCTGCAAAGATAACTTCACAAAGGACATCTTTTGGAAAACCATAACAGATATGCACATCTGAAAACTGTTCCTATTCTCCCCCTCACAAAGACTTCCTGTTGATGCTAGAAGAGGCAATTCTTTCAGTTCTATTTTCCTCCTGACTGCTTCCAGACACTTGATCCCTGCTGTTTCCCTTGTGCTGGCACTCTGACTATTCAGAAAACAAAATAAACTCAATAAAGGAAAAGGACACAAAATAAAACAAAAAACCCCTAGTAGTAAGTAGTTGAAGGGACAAGGTGGGACAATGTAACCAGGGAACAGGATGTGACACAAAGAGCTGAAGGCAGGAACAGCGGGCTGCAGAGAACTGCAGAAAACTGCTAGAAGCTCCAAAACAGTAATTTCAACAGCATCACTGGCAAAGCACACTGGCACTCTTCAGGCTGTCCTCAAGGTTTCAGTGATTCCATTTAACACAAGACAAGCAAAAGGTCCTCTGTACTGTACTCTCACCTACTCTGTCACAAAGTTTGCAGTGAAGCAAACATAGCAAATAACTGCTTGAAGAAAGGACCACAACTTCACTTGTGACAATCAAAACATTATATTAGTGTATGAAATAAAACTTATCCTCAGCAGCTAATAATATCCTAGCCTGAATCTTTACCTATTTATTTTGCAAGAAAATAGTAGTATCTGAAAGCATACAACATCTGTGAGAAGTATGATTTTTCCCTGTAAAGATTAATTGTAATCACTTATTTCACCTCTGTTGCTTTCTCCAGGTTCTGTTGTAGACTGAGCAATTCTCTATTGTGTTGCTCTTTAAGTTTATCCATCTCCATGTCATGGCTAGATACTTCTTCTTTCAGTGCTCCTTTTAAAGCTGTAAGCTCTCTCTCTCTCTTTCTCAAAATCTCTTCTTGTTGATCTTTTGCTATTAATACTTCTTGCAGATCCAGCTTCATTTGCATCAGCTCCTAAAGAACAAAATTAAACCCAATTGCATGACAAATAGTTCCAATGGACATTCCGTTTGTGTTTCAGAGAAGGAAAGCATCTAAGTATCAGCTCTTCAAGTCCAATTTTGTTTTGTATGACTGACGTATTTTTTGCAGCTTTTGTAGTAAGTTAAAAATTTACTAAACCCTAAGATTATTAGAAGTATAACACATAGCTGATGTTTTATATAACAGGTCAACATATGATGCTGCAAAACTATGAAAAGATTTTAATGGTGTATGTTATGCAGTCTGTAAAATAAGCAGGAGTCAAACTAAGGTTGCAATTTAACAACTCCCTCAGTCTTACCTTCTGTGGGAAAGAGGTAGATAAGAACAAAACCCTTTTTTCTACCCACACTGCAAGAGAAGTGAACTCAATGATAATTCCTTGTTGTCTTTTCTCCCGGAAAGAATAAAGTTGCTTCTGCAAGTGCTGAAATCAAAACAAGTGCTTCCCAGCTGAGTCCATGCCTTTACACCCTTCCTCCTCCCACCGTGTTCACCCTAGAAGTCATTTCCCCTTTCCAAATTGCTAGGAAGGAAATGGGTAGTCAGTGAATCTGAAGAATAAATACACACATGCATGTATACAAACAGAATAAAATAACAGCAACAATCAAAACCATATAGATTCAAGAATTACCTAATTCAGTATTTCTCAAGCTGTGAATAATTGCACTTTCAAAAAGAATGTAAGCTTCCCCTGCACTGAAGCAGGATCAGTATATCTAAACTATTCCTGACACACATATATTCTGTCCTTAAAAGCCTACAACGAAAGGGATTCTACTACCATCCCAGATAGCCATGTTCCATTGTTTAATTATCCATATCAATAGAAAATGTTTTCCAACATTTACTTTAAATGTCTGCAGCTAAGTCTCTCATTTCTTACTCTATCCCCACACAACATAGAAAAATTGACCACTATCTCCTTTCTAGCAACATTATATAAAATGTGCTACTGTCTCTTCCCTCATGCCTCCATTCAGATTAAAGTCCTTCTTCAGAGGTAATGTTTTTTCAGTACTATCACCATCATTCCAGATAGTCCCCTACTTATGTACAACTTTCAATTGCAGTACCTGAGATTTAAGACAGTAATTTAAGAGAGTAATCAAATCTCACCTACAAAAACCAAGGCAGTTCTACTCAGCATGTCTTGCATACAAAGATCTTTAACATTCCTGAGATCTACTGTCTATGCTTTTGCTCCCTATTTTGCATTTTAACATTTAGGTTCCACTTCGTAAGCTAGTTCTTTGCACTTGTATTAAGAGAAGTTACTTGTTTTGTAATACAAAGTATTAAGATAATTCTGAATTCTAATCTTCCTCTTGAACCATTATGCATTGATACTCTTACACACCCTTATAAACAAATTTAATAAGCAGTGTTCTCTATTTCATCATCAGGATATTACTATAACCAGGGCTATAGCCAATTCCTCTTTCATCCCAAGGTAGCAGAAAACCCAGAACTCTTTCGATCCTCTTCAGACTCTATCCCTTCTTTTCTCTCCCTGGACCCATCAATAAAGAGTCAACAACTTAGAGACTGCTTTGGTGAGTTCTTTTAACTTTGTTAGCTGAATCTCATCTAGCCTTGTTAATATATACACATTCTTTAAACTGATCTTCCCTGTTCTGACCCAAATCCTATGTAATTGTTAAAACTGACTGAGATCATTATCTGGATAACTTAGCTGTCCCCCACCCATTATGTTGTATGTATATTTGTTCTCCTGTTCTATAAAACAATGGTACTTATACTTTGTATTCCTTTTAGTGTTAATGTAGTTGTTATAACACGCTTTCTTAGGTCAGCTAATAATGGTATATTGTTTTGATTGACAGAATGGGAAAAGCTAAGGCATATATTTCTTCTACCTGTACCTTAGTTCCCACTTTTTATGCAATTCTTCTGATTATTTTTTTTTAACCTTCTTCTGGTACTTTATAACTAACCTCAATCAGAACCTCCTTCTCCCCTTCATCAGCATGCTTTGCGTTATCCAGTTCATCATGCATCTCAGAGAGCTGGTCTTGAAGATCTCTGATCTCAGTCTGGTGTTGTTCCTGCTCCATCTTCACTTGAAAAAGCCTGATCAGGAAAAATCAGACAGGATTTTTTCATTTGTACAAATACTAATTTGTTCTTTCAAGTACTAAAAAGATACGAGTATCTATTCCCATGTTCCCTACAAGGGAATGGGATATAATGAGGCAGAAAAATCAAATGTCGGAGGGATAAAAATGAGAACTCTTAAGTAGATATTTAAGTGGAAAGTTGTATTTTATTTTAAACCTTGTACTATATTCTTGACTAAAGCATTCAAGAGTTTCCATATTTTAAAGACTTGGACTATATGACCATGAAATATTAAAAGCAATTCACACTAAGAGGAAGACTATAAATTCAGAAATCTTTCTCTTCCTTCCAGATATTCTAAAAAAATGCCTCTTTTAAATGGTAGAAACATTTCCTACAATTACAAACATCACTCTGTCTGATTCCATGAACATATTCTGAAGATGCGGGTACTTTTAATCTAAAATTAAATATAAGAATAACTTTTCTAGAATTAACTCACTCCTCTAGGTTTTGCCTGAGTTCCTTCTCACTTTCTTCCAGCTGCTTTTTTAAGGCTTCTTTTTCACATATACTTTCATCAAGTTGCAACTGAAGATCTTTCAGGCTTGCTTGTGTAGCATCTCTCTCTTCTTTGGAATTTTGCTGATTCTGAATTTTGTACACCAAAAGTTAAGCAATAGACAAAGCATAAATTAATTTAAGGCTCTTTTTATTATATGAAAGAAGCCATTTCAAGACTTTAATATTTTTACTTGTATAAGTTTATTAATTTAGGAATATTAAAAGCTTGAAACTTTTATTAAAACACACAAAGCACTGCTTTTTTATTTTTATTAACAATGTGAGAAGTGAAGTCTCCGTAGTACTATCTAATCAGTTTCAAGTATATTGATTCTCATCACAGACTAAAAATGCAACCCAAAAGAATCCAAGCTGTTCTTCTCATGTCTTCAGGGCATGGCTGTACTTAACTACTTTGAATTCAGCACTGCAAAAATAATGCTGTAATTAATAAACAGCAGCTACATGAGGAATACAGTTTGTCTCTCACTCCATATCTGTCTCGCCACAGTCAACAGATTAACATTTACCTCTGCAGATACCTAAGAAATTTTATGTGCATGTGCCTAAACATTTCTATTCAGTGCTCCAAACTCCTTCTCAAATACTAAGAAGAAAGAGATTTCTTAAAAAGGGTAACTATGCTATGAGCAACTACACTTAAAAAGTCTTCTGTAAAAGCACAGGTATATATGGATTAAAAAGTATATGAAGCTGGTTGATCAGTTGTGACTTAGAAAAGTATATTTGAAACAGTCAAAAGCTTTATAACAACAAATTGCCATACCCTAATTTCTAAATCCAGTTTCTTCTCTAATTCTTCAACTTTTCTTTCAAGTTCTGCTTTTTGTTCCACCAATGCTTTTACTTCAGCCGAAGAATCAGAAACCTACAATTAAATAGAGATGTTTATTCCCACAAAGCCAAGATATTCTTTGACAATTGTTTTAAAAAAACCTAAAGTAAAGCTACAAGCAAAGCTAATAAAGTGTAGCATTAACTGCCTGAGCTCACCACAGACTTTTCATATGGGTCAAGCCATGTTAATATTTTCAAAGGAACCATGATTTGAGCTTCATAAAACTTGGTAATTGCTCAAGGCATGTTGCCAATAATACAGAAAATATACATACCTAAAGAAAAATTCAAATTAGGCAACTTATGAATTAAATCATGAGTACTTGGGGCCAAATATAACTGAGATATCACCAGTTACACCAAAAGGACATCAAAGGGATTCATGCTTATAGGTCAAGACAGATTTTCAAACACTGCTCTTCAGTAATTTCTTAAGATGTGTTTTATATTTTCATTTTAACTAATTATAGCCCAGGATAAAATAATCATCAAAAGTAAGCATTTAATCATTCTTATGTCATCACTGAAACAACTGGGCTTTTCTTCACTTTGCTTTAGAACTGAAAAAAGAGTGCACCACATAGCAGGAAACAAAAAAATTTCAGTGGGCAGATTGTCAAATGTTATTATTGTAATATGGCTTTTAAACAATATCCTAGATTACTGCTTTTACAAATTAAATCACAAATTAAAATACTCTCTCCACTTAGATATCTATTTACATCACTATAATGAGAAGATGCTCCGCCATTATTTTTTATAGCTATGTATGTTAGCTTTTTCTTCGATCCAACAACCTTTTGATGTTCATGTTAAATTTGCATCTCTCCTTCTAAAATGTAGAAGCTCTCACGGTAGACTCCTACACATTCTTTTTTAATTGTTAACAAATAGATTTCCCATAAGTCACCTCAGTGCATGATTAAAATTAAGCTATACTACTGAGAGACTACAAGAATAGTGTAACTGAAGTCAGTGAGGGGATTCAAATTTTTAAAGCCCTGTTTGAACACTGTATCACTATGAAACAAGCCAAAACAACTTAAAAAACTGTTTACCTGTGTCTTTCCAGCAGCTCTTGACTTTAAAGTCTGAATTTTCTCAAAAACCAAGTTGACTTTCCTCTTTGTCGCATCGTCATTATCAGCACTTCTAAAACAGACAGTACAAGTAAGCAATGATATGATCAAAGCTACTGTTTTGTTAACATTAAAACAAATTCAGTGTCCAAACTATTGAAAATTACCCACCATTAAAAAAAACCAAACCAAACTTAACTGTGATTTCACTAAGCCCTTTAAAGAGAGGCTGTTAAAAAATTATATTCCAAATGATTTAATAAAAAAAAAAAAAAATCCCTGACCTCTTTAACTGCAACTCTCTTCTACAAAACTATAGCTGTGGAAAGACAGGTATTCAGCATGTATATTATTCAAACATACTGAAATTAGAAGCAATCAGTACTAGGTTTTTCAAGTCCTAACCATAAAATAGCACTTCAATACCTCTCAGAACCTGTTACATCAGGAATGCAAAGAATTTTAAGTGCATATTGTATATTTTAATTCATTTCTCCTTCCTTCATCTTTCAGTAAGTTATCATTAAAAATACCAAGTGAAAGAGTTACAGGTGGACAAAGGATTAAATGCACAGCAACAAGAGAGCTTCTGTCAAACCTTAAGAGATAACACTTTTTTGCTCCTGTTTAAAAAATCCACAAGCTTTAACTCCCATGAGACATGATTTGTAATCTTCATGAACCTCAATATCACACGAAGTTTAACTCCAGAAGTATTTAAAAGACAAAACATTCTGATTCACAAATTTCAACTACATTTAATCAAATCCTGTACAATACCTTATGTAAGCCCTGATTGCCTGGGTATTTTGAGATCCTATAATGCCTTGAAGGACACAGCTGAGATAGAGAGTGATGAAACAAACATTTCATTTAGTTACAGCTTTGATTTTACAGTTTCACATTTTAAATGTAATAGAAAATACACACTGAGAAAATACAGTCTCCTCTCCAAAATTTAACTATGCTTACTAACCCTTCCTTAAGGTAATTGTAAAGTATCTGTTTAGCAGTCTCTTCATTCGTTTGCTGTGCAAGATTTTGCTGGCCTTTTAAGAGATCAGGAGTTGCCTAAAACGACAAGATAAAATGTCAAAAAATATAATTCTATAAGGATTGTAAATACAACCTGTACAATTGAAGTTCTCTATTCTATTATATTATGACAACATTCATGTACTGTGGACCTCAAGTTCACGAAGACCCACTGGAGTTTTGGCTTACTGCAAAAAGAAAGCGTATTCCACACCAAATGAAAGAAAACATAATTTTGCATGGAGGTACATATATTTCAGCATTCTACTTTTATGCATTTACACTTAAGAATCATCATAACATAATTTACAATAATCTTCTTTGGCCCCACCATCTCCCTTCAACCATACAAAAATAAGCTGTTTTACAAACCACATTTTCTACACCTGCAACTACAGGAATAATTTTTGTATTTATACTTCTCCAGAACAATTATGCTATCCCATTTGGAAGTATTGTGTGATGGGAGTTTGTTCTAATGAAGAGCAGAAAAACATGCATTTAACAATGTGAGAGTTTTAGTATGCTTGAGTGCAAAACACAACTTAAAGCGTAAATTCAAAATTACCTGTATATTAGGGACAGGTGAAAATGTTTTTACAGCAATTTTCTTGGCTTCTGAATCAGGTGGAACTGTGATTCGGTTTGGCAACAACAAAGTAGAAGTTACTGTTCTAACTTCCTCTCTCTTATTCTGTCCTGGGAGCGTAGACGACCTAAACATCGAACTCTCAGTATCACCTCCATTTTGTCTATGGTATTGCAAAGAATTGAAATTGCTGTTCCGAGTATCTTTATCAGGCATTTGCAGTTTTCCAATACTTCGAGCAGAAATCTTCATCTCTGTGGAAGGTGACTTTTGATCTCTGGATAACCGCTTGTGAAGGCAAACTTTAGATGGTCTCAGCAAGTGCTCAGTTGACTTACCCAAGCTTTTACTGAATTCACCTAAATAACCTGAATTTACATCAAGCCCTAAGGACAAGGCACTATCAGCACTTCTTGATCTTTTACGATCATCTGGATGAATTCTATTCCTTTTTCCTGACCTACCTCTTCTATGAGGATCAACTTTCTTATCAAACTTTTCAATTAGCTGATCTACTCCTGGAAGTGAACCAGTGTCAATATCACGACCAGTTCCAGGCAAAAAAGGGATATATCTTCTGTTTTCATGACGATTAACATTGTCTGCATAGATGGCATACTCTTGGTCATCAAGTAAAAATCTGTATAAGGAATTTGCAGAAGTGGGAGTAGCTGATGAGGATGATGATCTTCGTGAGTTATCCAATACTGGCCCAGCTGAATCTTGTCTGCGGAAGGGAAGAACATCTGGTCTAGGTTTTCTAGTCTCTGAATAAGCAGTGGGACTAACACATGGGGATCCTCCTGCAGATGAAAATGATTCTGAAACACACACTTCGTTGGAGCTGATCATGCTACTGGGGCAATCCAACAGCTGCTTATTTTGGTCTTTGACTTCTACTGACCTGTTCAAATGTATCTTTTTTGAATTTGCTTTGGTTGGCTCTGCGAGATATGTATTTGTTTTCTGTAGGGAGACTACTTTAGATGAGGAAATCCAAGGCTTTGCTTCAGTTTTTTCATCTTCAAAAGATTTAGATTTACTACACACAGAAGATTGGTAATTATCCAAGTTCAAGTTATTTTTTTCAGGATCATAAGGCTGTAAAAGTTCAGGATGTCTTTGAAAGTTCAATAAATTGGAGGACTTCATTGTTCCATCTTTAAAATCTGATATTCCATTTTCCCCTTCATCCACTTTGGTTATCTTCAGGCTTTTAAGCATACAGGGTTGCATATGCTGTGTTCCAGGAAATTTTGTGTGTTCACTGTTTTTGTCCTCCAACTTAAAAGCAGTATTGGAGTCTGTGGCTGGCTTGCTTACAGTCTGAGAAATGACCTGCTGTTCTTTTCCAGGAGGAGGAGAATTTTCTGAAAAACATCCTTCTGTATTATTTAGTACTATGTAAGGATGTCCATCAATTCCTTGGACTCTAATACTGACACCATAAGACCCCGTCCTAGAATTTTGTGCATTTCTAGTTTTTTGAGTCTCTTCACTTGCAAGTTCAAGAGTGACTTCATAGTCCTGCTGCACATGCTTAAAACCAAAATATGGCTCCATGATTATCAGAGGATTATAGCTGAATAGAAGAAAAATTACAAAAATGTCAGTTTTAAATACTTTAGATTATTTCATTATTTACTTTATTCCACCATTCACTAGGACTATGAAGACTAACAGTAATACACAGAGAAATCAATATACAAGTCATACAAAGCCCAAAGTGAATGCATTGTATTACAAGCCAGATGTCTGACTGAGTCTGATCAATGTAATGTTATTTTATGACTGTAAATGTTAAGAAATAACAACAGTTAAGATTACCTACACTGAGTTGGTGCTAGTTGCTTTGGAATCAAACAACTTGAAATGTAAGCAAGTCTAATACAATTTTTTGAGGCAAAGCAGCTTTTATTCTGGGTATCTCCACTATGTTTACTGAAAGACTGTACCCTTCACAAATCAATGATAATTTTATAGCCAACAGTTAGTACCAGTCATATTAACATTTAAACATAAGCCCAGGAGAGCAAAACACAACCAGGCAGTTTTAGGTAACTAAAGCACTGCAAGAAAGGTCAATCTCCTCATGCCTTTGAGTTGCGCTTTTATGTACCTGGCTTTCAACATTTGTTTCTAAAGACATCTGAAAATAAACATTTTAATTTATTATATTATTGTCATCCATAAGAATTAACTTTCTTACATATTAATTTAACAATCCCCCAACTGTGGGCTTGCTCCAGAAAACTCCAGTTGCTATTTTAAAACAGATACTTTGATGAGCAACAGAAGTGGAAAAATACTGCTAGTATTTCCAAGCCTGATGATACCTTTTTCAGAAGCAATAGGAAGGCTAAATCCAGCCTGTATGTGCCTAAACTGTTTCAGGTCTAGAAAACAATAATTAAACCCTAGCTGCACTTTTAATGTTAAATGCCACCTGTAAGAGCTGGGTTTGTGGATAGTTTTACTTTACTATCTGTTGCATATTATGAGCCAGCTGTCTAGTGGCAGAGTCAATGCAGTGACAGTAGGAGCTGTGTCTATAAAAGAATGGAACACAAGACTGTCAAACTAATGCAAAACCTGGAGGGAATAAACTTTTGAACTGAGCTGGAAAGTTGAGTAATCACTGAAACCTGACAAAACCAAGATCACTAGACAATGGTGAATAATCATCAAGAGGAAACAGAAACAGGATGTCTCATGGAAAAATAAACCTCTGCAGCCAGTTTCACTCTCCTGTGTATCTCAGCATGAATCATCTCCCTCAGATATTTTAATCAACACAGAATTATCATTTTTTCCTGACAGTGAATTAAAAAGTTTGACTCAATATTCGTAGTACACCCAACTCTTCCTTGTAGCAAGACAGTTCCCCTCAATCAAGAGGAAACAGAAACAGGATGTCTCATGGAAAAATAAACCTCTGCAGCCAGTTTCACTCTCCTGTGTATCTCAGCATGAATCATCTCCCTCAGATATTTTAATCAACACAGAATTATCATTTTTTCCTGACAGTGAATTAAAAAGTTTGACTCAATATTCGTAGTACACTAGTTTCCACCCAACTCTTCCTTGTAGCAAGACAGCTCCCCTCAAAATCCTCTTTCTAAAAACCAGCTCCAGCTCCTCCTCAACAGCAGGCTTGCTTCATCTGAAGAAATCTGCATATGTCTCTCTAAAGACAATGCTAGATATCTAAGAGATTATTTTAATGAAGAAAAGAAGCAGTCTCATTGTCAAAGTCTTCCTTAGATAGTAAAAAATTTGGTGAACTAGTTAAATTCACCATAATTAATTCAGGGGTTAAATCCACTTAGTAAAGAGAAGTAAATAGACACTATGAATTTGACCTCCATTCAAGACCTCCTGGAGTAGGAAAAGCAGCAGAACAAGAGAAAAGCAAAGATGAACAAGAGAAGGCTAAGAGAAGTAGAAAAATGAAGGAGCAAGAACAATGGAAGGAAACAGCACGGACCAATACACTTCATTATCTTGGGCCTCTGTTCTATGTATTTCTCCACACTTTTTTACCTTCTTTTCTGTATACTCATAACATCTCACATGAATTACACTGTTTCAATGTATAAGCTGAGACAAAAATGACCAAGTAAAAATAGCAGAAGCTGATTCTAATCACCCAGAGTCGATGAAGAGAACTCCATTGATTTAGTGGGTTTTTGACCAGGGCACTGAAATCAGCTTCTGAGCTGCACTAATGGTGGCTGAGAAAGCAAAGAAGGAAAAAGAGATAGCACTGTACAGAGCTGTAACTTAGAATATACGCTGTAAAGGAACCAGACCACACTAATCTGATGAATAGTTGCTGGAGGTAAGAAAGAAACCAGGCTTTCCAATCTGTTCTTTAAACTGTTGAGTGGGTCCAGCTACATTCATCACTATCTCAAAATTGTTCTTTGTTTCCTCAAGGCAACAAAAAGGAAGTATTTTTAAAAGTTCAAAAGTTGTTTTCAAATAAAGTAAACATTTTGAAGCTTTTATGCTTTCCATTTTTATATTACTGTTATATTATATGATGGTCTGAAGTTACTACTATGGGTATGCAATGAAATAATAAAAATTTAAATAATTTCAAGTTTTAGCAAAATAAAAATAATGAAACAAAGTTTCTCAGACTTCTAAATCAAATCTGCATGATTGTCTAGGGAAAAAGTGTTAATAAGACATGATCTTGTAACTGAAAATTACTAACAAAGAAACTTCAAACAGCCTATGAAAAAAAGCAACAAAATTATGTATTTTCTAAAGAGCAGGGAAATGTTTAAAATGTCTCAATTAATGTTTTTAGAATGACTCAGAACTCTAACTTTATAAAAAGATATCTAGTTTGCAAAATACAGTGTGCTGATACTACTTAGAGTAAGTTAAAATCACTCATGGCATATTTGCATGTGACCATGTAAGTGAAAAAAACCCCATGATTTATACATAGTTGGTAGCACACATCTGCAGTAGATGAATATGTGAATGTCTTTAAAAAGGCTCTCCACTTAGTGATTCTAGCAAGATTAGAAATGCCACCAATAAGTTTAGACAAATTACTTAGTATGAAAGTTTACACTACACTTCAAAGCTGTATGTGTTAGCAGACCTATGAAAAGAGTAAAGTTCATCTGAATTTGCCAATAGTGGTAACAATTAACAAACACAAGAAAAAGAGGTCAATAAGAACAAACCTAAAACTTAAAAAAAATTTATTCAAATCAATCAGCATAAAGAATAGATAAGCAGTAAATTACAGTATGTCAAATTCAGGGTGGCTACAAAAATTGTGCTTTCTAACATGTTGCAAAGTTGCTAAAATATTAAATAACCAGGAAAACAAACAAACCAACCCACCAAAAAACCAAACCTCAAAACCAACCACAAAACCCCTGATGTATAGTGGAAACAGTATTTAGGTTAATAATGTACCTTAAATTAACCATTAATATATTTAATTTGTCTCTAAAAGTATACAGACATAAGTATATTTGTCTTCATGTGCATTATACTAATAAAACACTTGATTTTACTATACAAAAAGATAAAACCTTGTAGAAATCAAAGTGCTAAAGCAACAATTTTTAAATAAAATATTTTATCTTTCTGGAACTGTGAAAAAATTATATATATAAATCCCCATTACATCTACAAGAAAATAAGACAGCTGGCCCTACTGTTCAAATGTTTGAAGACTGTACTTAAAGTTCCTGTTTTAAAGGATGTCAAGCCACAGTGGATAATACTCCCATCAACTACATAATATCAAAAAAGTTATTTTACAATGCACAAACCCACCAGTTTTGTAATATTGTAAACATTTTTAAATTTAAAAAAGCATTGCTAGTTTTTCTCACACAGCCTTTCTGATGAAAACCTAAAACAATTAAATGATGTTAATTGTTTAATTACAGTTATGGTCATATTTCTACACACACATCGTACAGTCGTCATCTCAGGTTTTTGCAGGCTTACAGCAATAGATTAAGATGGGAGGTCTGAAGCTGTTTCTCTCCCATCTGTCTGCCTCACTCCTGTGATGGACGTCACCATGTCAAAAATTAGAACATCTGAACACTCTGATGGCTTAGTATACACCTCAGCCAAGAAAATTTGCAGAGTGGCATACTCAGGTAAAAGCAATCAGTCTTGTGTTCCATACTATTAACGATTGAAATTCTGACATCTGATACAGCAGAGAAGCCGACAGCTGGGGGCACTGACAGCTACAACTGTCCAGTTTTAATCTTCTTTAAGTCTGCTGAAGCCCTCAAATGTTATGACAGAACAGTTTGTTTACTCTTAAGCTTACAAAAAGAGGTAAGATATTTTAACAGTAGTTAGGAAGAGATTTTCCCTGTTTACAGGGCTCCTTGTTGTTTCCTTGTAGTTACTTATAAAAAATAGAAGCTTGCTTTTTTTTTTTTTTTTTTAAATAGAGGATGATATAAATTCTAATTCCGGGTTTTCTGCCAGACTAATACTTTTAAATAATATAGTCTTGCTAGTAATTTTATTTGCTGTCTCAGAGGAGTTTAAAAATACAGTTTTCAGAAAACAGAAGCAACGATTCTGCATAAATTTGTAATTTAGGTAGAAGACTGTCATTCTATTATTTTATAAAATCAGTTCTTATCTCCTATTTGTGAAGCAAGTATTATCATAACAGCATATACAAACTAATCAGGACATAGGAAATAACTATTTCAATAAGTTTTTTCTTTTGAAAATATTCTACTTGCTAAAACAACAGATAATATAGTCAAGGACATACAGATATGGAGTATATTCACTGTATGCACCAGATAAGTTATTTTATTTGAAATTTCAGCAAAAGAGTAATTTTCAATCAAATCTCTCCTTGAAAACTGTTAAGAGCTGAAAGAAACTGACTTAATGAGTTTACCAGAAAACTCAGCCTGAGCCTGCAGGTCTAGGACTTTGTATCTACATAGGCCCTTCCTCACTCTGAAACCCCATGAAAACTATGTGTCATCCCTGTGTGGCCACACTCAGTTTTATCAGGCTACAGGATCAAGTTCTTTAAAAGGTTCAAAATA